GCGGATTGCTTTGTTAGTGCTAATTCATTTGGGGGCAATCTTAAATTCATGGTCACTGTCCAGACCTGAAAAGATGTGCTTTGATCCAGTGACCTGCTGCTCCACATCTACAGAGGACTGATCAATGACAGTTCTGGTAGACTAAAAAACCCAAACCAGCTCAGTAAAAGCAGCTCCCTGCATACTTTACCCCAGCTCTTCACACCAGGATCCCTGGGCAATAACAAAGGAACTGTTAGCAGCACACCTCAATCCCTTAAGGATCTACTCACTGCCACTGCCCACCACTTCCAGAAGGCTGACTGGCCCTTGTGGCAGGGAAAAAAAATGTCACAAGCATTAAAGCTTGAGCTCGAGCCCTCATATATTTGGTTCAACCAAAAAAAARTAAAAATCATTTTGATAAAGCACTTGGATTTCATTGTGACTGTGCAACTAGCAAAGAAAAATCCCCACCTGCTCCTGCCTTGAGACAGCCTCATACTGCAGGCCACTGCTTCACGTTTGCTGGAGATGAAACCAAAGAGCCCACCCCACCAGRTGGGCACCCAGTGAGTACTGTCATGCTACCCATGACAAGGGGGTCTTTGGCTCAGGATGCCCTAAGAGCATAAATGTAAACACCAAGTCACTCGGGAGCAGTTGCTGACGGGACATCAGAGTGTCAGAAGAGCCTCTGTTCCACAACAGTGGGGGAAAATCCTCCCAGTTTCCAGTGAGATCAGAATGTCTCCCCACTAACAAGAGAGGGGCCAGGCCCTGTCTTCCTTCATGGCTTGTGAGAACAAGCAACCCCTCTATTTTCTGACACAAAGAGAAACAGAACTGCAATTGCTTTTGGGTTGGTACAGGTAGACAAATGAGCAAGGAGTCATTTTCCAAAAATCACTGCACCATGTTGCACACACTGCTAGTTTTGGGTGGTCTTTGTTCCTATCTGGAACAAATCTGTTTGTCTAAGACAATGTTTTCCAGAAAGTTTTGCTGCATGCACAGTAAGCAGGTGACATCTGCAGTAGATAGACATGGATTATTGTTTCTTATCTTGTAGCAGCTCCACAACCTCGTCTTTTTTCCCCCTCACCTACAAACAACACGATGGGTTTTTAGCAATGAAATCTGTTACTGCTGTCTTCAACTGTTTCATAGGTCTCTTTCTGTATCAGGACTCTTGAAAAGCAAACTAATTTACTGGCCTGGCTCAGGCAGAGTTTGTGCAGGTGCTGATAAAGGAATTTCTACAATTTGGAGACTGCAGACTTATAAAAGAGTCTAAGAACCGCTACGCTGGATCAGACCCAGGTCCTCGCCTCCAACAGCAGTGAGCAGTAAACACTGAAAGCAACATATGAATAAGAAAGGAGCATCTTTATCCAATCTCATCCCTCTAAGCCTGCACCCAGTAGTCAGTCTGGAGTAGATCAGCATCTCTGAAGAAAATCTATCAAAGGTCCCATTCTTCATTATGCGACACAGTTGCCAAATCCTATTAGATATTCTTCACAGCTCATTGTCCTTGCTTCCACGTTCATGCTCCTGTGCTGGAACTTTGTGAGCTCTGCAGTATTGAGTTAGCATAATTCAGGAAGGAAATAGAGACCATGAACAGGAACAATATGCAGAGGCAGGAGAACATACACTGATAAGGTCTGTGACAGGGTCTGACTAGAAGTCATTGAAAGCTGATCCCTTACCTTTAAACCTGTCATCTGAGTCACTCTCACTCTCGCTGTTCTCATCTGCAGAGGACAGAGAGTGATCAGTTAATGCAAAACCAGAGCAAACAAACTCAGTTCACTGTGCTGCACCAGGAAAAATCCTATCTCACATCTCTGAGCCTTGTGATCCACACAGGCACTTCTCTTCCGTCTTAAAATATCTTGAAATAAACAGTTTGAATGACTCCTTAGATTGTGTTTTCCTTGGATTCAGTTTCAATATTGTTTGAGAGTAAGAACTTCATTTTGATGAAAGGGCAAAATGCATTCTCCATTACAGCAACTCTGTGTACTAAATCCCCGTCTATGCTGAGCTGCAAAAGAGCAATTTGGAAAACAGTCTTAACCCTTTCACTTCTGTTTTCAAGTTTTAATTTTTAAATTAAATTAAATTTAGAATTTAATTTTTAAATTTTAAATTTCTTAGTTTAAAGTTAAATTTTAAATTTCTTAGCACTTGAGAAGTCAAAGTGAGCCTTACAAGCTTTGATTGCCTGAGCAACATTCACAAGAGGCAGAACTCACCCCACTCAAGTTAACAGGCAAAAGTAACTTTATGAAAAGATGTGTTACTGAAGGGTTTTTGTATTAAAGCTCATTGTACTCTTACTACAAACAGGGCCTGAACTTCCTTTTTGGCCCCTGTTTTTCCAGAAGCAATCTGAAGCACAGTGTGAATTACACAGCATGAGTGCCAGCAAAAAGCATGCAACAATTCCAGGGTCAAAACTGTGAATTTTGGGCAAAAGTTACAGATGCAAATGACTCAAAAGTGGGCTAAAGAAGYTGGGTAAGTCTTGCTGACCCTGGAATTAACAGGATAGACAATACTGAGAATCTCATTTATTTTTAGCTCATGCCCATTTTATCTTCTTGCAGAGAGAAAGTTATCATTGCTCACGGAATAAAGTTCTAAACAAAGTAGAGTCCAGGGTAGACATGGAAGAAAGATAGCAATGGGTTAATCCTGTCACATCCAGATGGAATCACTGAACCATGATGCTTGTACCATACCTCGTAGGGATGCTGTCTCAATATTGGACACAGAAAGTTTCTTCAGTCGTTTTTTCCCTCTTTTTGCACTGTAGATGGAATTGATTCTTTGGACAAGCTGTAAAATAAGAAAACATGGAACAAGTAAAATTAAACATTTTTCTGCCAGGAGACTTTTAATTAATCTATCCAAACAAAATATGGGTGATAGACCAGCTAAAATCCCTAAAACTTTTACTGTTTCAAAGCACATTTTTTATTTCTTTTTTAAAATCCCATTTGTTTTAATTACTTATTTTGACTCTCACTTCTTTACCTATGGATGTATTTTAAAAAACAGTGAAATAACTCAGAAGCCTAAATCCCAGTTTCAAAAATTCTGTAGACACTTGCAATRAAAGCAATGAGCCTAAGCATTCAAAGGCAGCTGTTATCCTCTACCACCTCATTCCCCTAACCTGTTGTTTTTCTCATCACTTGCATTTGCTAGATAATAATAATCCATTAGCCATATCCAACTTTGTCAAACTGTCATGGACCTGAAGATCACATTGTTATTTTGAATACAAGAGTAAGGTGGTTTAGCACCTCTCTGAAGTGATTTTAGCATGTTCAAATAAGCACAAGAGATGGCTCTGACTTTTTTCAGTTTTCAGTACAGAGTGACCAAGATGTTTGGGAGCAATATCATGTCAGAATATCATGCGAAGATCAGGCCCATGGGGACATCTGCGGATTTAGCCACCACCAGCCAGAAGTTTAAGCCCTTGTTATCATCTTTGTAACTTCCCTCAAGAAGGCTAATGCAGATAATAACTGTCTGCCAAAAAAAAACACCTGAGATGATGGAAAATATTAATGAGATAACTTGTGTTTAGTATCTTCAACAAGATGTTGGGATTGCTAAGAATTCACCATTAAGCAGAATATTACAACCTCTGAAGAGTCACAAACATGTAGCAATTAATCTTCATGATGTTTTATGGCTCAAGAAAAAGTATCTTTCATTCCATAGCAGATTTATTCATAGAACTATAATACATTTTGCAAAAGCTGTTTTACCTCAGCTTGCAGAGAGAAATAAACTGAGTGAAAGAAAGCAATTTGCCACAGACACAGTAGAATGGCAGTAACAGCACTGACTGGACCAAAACCTTCCCCATTTTTCCCTCGAATAACTAACCCTATCTCAAAAAACCTGATATTCTCCAGGAACATGGGATCCTGAAAGCTAAAGTAATAAGAAAATAGAAATAATCATGATTTGCAATAAAATTGTGAACATTCACATGCTGAAATAATAATTTCACATAAGGAGAATATCTGTCTCTTCAATTAAAAAAGAGTGGGTACAAAACTAACAGACAAACTTTCCAAGTTTTACTCAAAATTAGATAGTAAGCTACTCTGTAAGTAACCCTATAACTACCTCCAGAGATGTACACCCACGTGTACAGTATAACAATCTATTCTAAGAAAGTAAAAATACAGTAAACCTGAAGGATGTTGGGTTAATTCCCCCCTTAAACAGAATTTCCAGCTAATTGACAGAAACATGAAAATGTCCCTCTACTCACAGTATTTATAGCCATATACTTTAAAATATGCTCTCTAATAAGAACAGGAAAGAATTGAATACACAGTAAAAATCAACTTTGTTCGCAAGCCAAAATGAAGCATATTGGCAGTTCTCTCCCTCTCTGTAGCTATTGTATTGTTGGGTTTTTTGGTTGTTGTCTTGTGGCTTGGGGTTTTTTTCACATTCCATTTTGAATTGAAAAACAAAAAATTTTTACTACACATCCATCAAGACAGCATAGTTATCAGGAAGGGGTAGGTTGTAAGTAAATGAATGGAAATTTATTAGGGCAATTAATTTATTTTCCTGGAAACAAATGAGGGGGAAATAAACCGCTTCAGATGCTGCTGCACGTCATAAGAAAGAATTGCTTGGCCATCACCCATTCAAAATCTTAAAGTTAGATACACAACAATGCTCTGGTCCACAAAGCTTAAGAAAGAGCGTGGAAAACAGAACTGCCTTAAAAACAATTCTGCACAAAGATGGCCATCATATGTTTGCTCCTCTTGGATAACTTGGAAGTTATCACTTCTAGGGAAGGGATTTTCACAGTATGGCATGTAAAAGAAGGAGTCTGGCTTGGCTCCAGAGAATTAACTCTTTCTATCTGTGTATTCCTTTAGGATACAGAAAGAGCTTTCAATGATGGCTAAAGGCTCTCACAGACAGGTGAGCTCTCCTCAGCACAAGCCTGATGCTGCCAATACCTTTGGGATCCTCCTGGCCCGCCGTGTGGACAGCAGCTCGCTTGCAGTGCTCAGGCTGTCCTCGTTGAGGCTGGAGGGGGAGGAGGGGATGCCCAGCTGAGCCAGCAGCAGCATGTCATCGTGGCTGTGCCGCTTGGGCAGCCGTGGCAGGCGGTGGCTCTTCCTCTCTGACCAGTTCCCGACGCGCAGGGAGTGGCTGCTGGGCTTCAAGGGCAGCTGCGGGGACAAGAACAGCTTGAGCTCTTCCCCTCTCAAGAACACATGGGGCAGAGACAGCTCTCTGTGACACAGTGGTGGCTGCACAGGGACATTACGCCAGGTGAGCCACTGCTCTGTGTCAAGAGAGCATCTGAGGTCAAGGTGAAGGGACAGGGGTCAACCTCGGAGACTTTAAAGTCTAAAGAAAACAACACCACTTCTGAGTTTGCTGCATTTCCATGCACCCACATCACACCAGCYCTGTGAGCCCTAAAATCTATCCTGAAGGCTTGGCTGACAGCAGGGCAGTGACCCAAAAAGCCTGATCCATCTCTTTCACTTGCAGGAGTGAAAATAAAGAGCAATTACACAATTGTGTAATTGCAATACTGTGTAATATTAATTCAGTGTAATAGTAATAACTAAAACAGTAATAACTAAAACAGTAAATTCATACTATTTTATCCAAGAAAAAGTTAAGTAGAAAAATCAAGCTTGTTCTATTTTCATGGTGTGAAGTTTCAAGGCCTGCCAATGTGCAGAGGTGCGGTTAGAGCCTCTCCCTGCATTCCCTTTAAAACAAGAAACTGTTATCATCAAAGGGCAAAGGGAAAATCTCACTGAAGGATTAAGCCCAAGTAACATCTGTGTTCAAAAATCTGGGGCTCTTTTGGAGCAGTTCTTGGAGCAGCTCTGCCCAGCTCCAGGCCCCTGCTTTCTTCTCCCAAACACAAACACTATAAAGAAGACTAACCAGCATGTCCAGGAAAAAGTACTATTATGCCAAGCATCTGTCAATTGGCATTTGCTAACATTCTATCAGCAACATTACAATCTATAAATCTGCAATAATAAATGTCTCATTTATTGGCTGACTGATTGCAGTGTCATCCTACCTGGGATTAAGCCCAGGTGCTTCTGTGGAGAAGGTTGCATCACAAATACAGTGTCATCATAAAACATCCCTGTCATATCTGATTACTTCAAAAACTGAAAATAATCAGTGGGAAGATAAAAGACTCTGGGATTCAAAATGTCCACAACACCAGTGTTTCTGAGGTCTCTGCTTACCACAGGTTAGCATGCCAGGAAAACTGGCAGCAGTCCATACTTTATTAAACAGAATTCTTTTTGGAAATGATTGTTGGAAGCTTGCTGACCTTTTGATCTCTTCCATCTTGTTTATTATCATCCATGACTGACAAGTCATGTTGCCAACCCAGCTATGTTGCTATGATGGAAAAACTGAATGATAAATCATTGCCAAAGATACCATTCTTTGGGAAATTCAGACTTTTCTATTTCTGGTCATCAGAGAATTACCCAGGCCAAAAGCTGACCCACTCTTAGTGTCTCTTCAGTTGAAGTATCAGCAAAATGACAATGTAGTTATGGGAGAACTGACTCCTGGCAGGGAACTCGCAGCAGCATTTCAAAAAGAAGCTACCAGAATAAAGGCAGCCCTCTTGCAAAGACACCAGAGAGTTCTTATTTACTGAACAACTTTACAGAATAATTTTAATCTGTCCATTTTTTGGTAGCTCTGTGTTAAACAGAGAACACTGGCCCATACCTTCCTATGGACCTGTATGGTTCCCAGCCTAATAACACACTCACAGGGATCCTCTGGATGCTACACAATTCCTGTTAACACACATACACAACCAGAAATAATTATTATGCACCATGTCCCACTATGAGGTTATCCTSATGACTGCAGCTCCTGTTCCTCTTTACTCTGCCTGATTTCTACTTTCCATTTGTTCCTTTTCCAGCAGCTTTGCTSAAGTCACTCCTGCTTTACCAAGGATTAGTACGAGTATACTACCTGTGATGAACACGCAGTATGTGAAAGAAAACGCATTCCGTTTTCTTCCTAGCTCTCTTTACTAGATAAAATGTAAATTGTTATGGCCTTTGGTTCAGCTGCAAATTTTCTGTTGATTCAGAACACAACRAAGTTCTTTGAACAGTGCATTTAATCTCAAAATTAAGTATGTGATGAGATTTATATTCTTCCTTATATTCTTCCAGTGATCCCATAAACAACCAAGCAACCCGGCATTTCATGGTGTTCCCAAAAAAAAAAAAATCAGGTTTGCTTTGGAAAACTCATCACAAAATGGGAAGTCTGCAAAGTTCCTCGTCTTTTGTTTTACGCTGTGAAYAGTTTATACAGCCCTGTTAAGAGCAGACACTCGGGTTTTTCTGACTATTTTATTATTTACATATTCGGTCAGGGGTTTCACCTGGCATTCTCATTTTACAATATTACATGCCACACTACGAACTTCACGTGATCAAAGTCACACCAGGCCTTGCGTAACAACACACGGACAAAACCAGCAGCTGACTTCTCCCCTCCTGTCCCTGCCTGGCAACAGAGGCAATTCCCTAAGAGGTGCAGCAACACAAAGAGTTAATTTAGATCCAGAGTCAACTCAAAAATAAGCCGTGTAAGAATTCTGCTCAAGACTGTGGGGCCACAGGCAGCACAAAGAGCCACGGGCTCACGCAGCGCAGCGCTGGAAGCGGAGCCACGGCTGCCAGGAGTATTCCCAGCAGCGGCTGAGGGATCTGCTCGCTCTGTGCAGCCTCTCGCACTCTGCTCGTCCTGCCACGGCACGATGGACCAGCARACAGCTTTAAACAATCTCCAAGCGCAGGCAGCCCGCTGCCGTTACCTGCGGAGGTGCTGTGTATTTCCTGTTCTGCGGCGTCCACATCCTGTGCAGGGAATCTAGGGAATTCTCAGACAGCTGATGGGATTTTCGCCCCGCGTGACGGCCTTTCAGCTCCACATCCTCGTACGGGTTTTCCTTGGGTGACTCGCCTTCACGTTTGGGTTTTCGGTTTTTTTTTTTAAGGAAAGAAAAACAGACAGGAATGTAAAATTAGAAAAAAAAAAAACAATTAAAAAAATCATGTGAACCAAGTAAAAGGCTTTTAGAAAAGCTGCTCAGCTTTCAGCATGACTCATCCCTCTCGCTGCAGCTGGAAGTATTTGGAGGAGAACTTGGCTATGAGATCGACAAGTTTCTTTGGATTTTTTTACTGTCTTCTTTTTTTTTTTATCTAGAATGCGAAGATTTCACAAGACTTGTTCTGAGCATCTGCAGCTGCRGAAAATTTATTGATACATAAAAGCTAAGGCCCTTTACTTCTTTAGAGTGTATCAGTAGATTTTATAAATCTGTAACAGCCACTCACGGGGTGAAATGAAGACCAATAAATAACTGTGCCCAACACACCACTCTTAACACACAATAAGACAATTCTTATTTGATGCAACCTTCATTTTTCTCTTCTCCTGAGAGAAGGAAAATAAAAAATAAATACTCCATCTCAACAGTGCCAAGAGACAAGATTGAAAATGCAAAAGGGTGAGGATTTGTGTCACAACCATACTGCGTCCTCAGACTGTTTTTTAAAACATACCCTGTCTTCAATTAGCTGTTAATTTCAAGTTTTGTGAAATTCCTCTCTCCCAAAAGGAACCTCATCCTGCTGGTAATATACACAGGCTTGAACTGTTAATCACTAAATATGACGTAAATGAAAAATACATTAAAAAGCAGACTGCAATCTTTGAATTTTTAGCATTTGAAAACCAGAACCAAAATTTATAGTTCAGATTTGAGATCCAATACCCATCATCTTCTCAAAACTCTTGAACTTAGCAGACCTCATAGTGAACAATGTAGCATGAAGATGAATGAGTGCCATTAATAAAATTAACCTTTTGTATGCATTTTTTCAGACAGTTGATAATCAGCAACTAATTTAGAACTTCAGGTTTTTCAAACACAGGGTCCTTCCAGTTTTCCAACCATCTTGAACAGAAAATCATCCCAAGAAAAARGTGATCTACTTAGATTCAAGACTTGATTTTATAGAAACATGCAGGAAAATCGAAGCTTTTAAACCAACTTGCTTTTGCTTTTATATCTAAAGATGACTTTAAAACCCATGGGTTTAGTAAAAAATATATATTGTAAAATAAGCTATTTAATATAAGAAATTCAACTTTGACTACATAGTGTGTCAATTGAGAACTGAAGACAAAGCTGGAGCATGGTTCATTATTCCCACTGTTACAGAAAATATTCACAGCGTTTAAGGAGATGACAGCTGAGGCATAAKGTGTTTTCAGTGAGAGCAAGGTTAATACTCAGTCTGTGTCACTACCAGCTGTATAGTTCAAGGCAGAAGGTTAAATGTCCTTATTGTACAAAAGAAAAATAAAAGCAGTTTGTGCTTTCTACTTTATTGTTGAGCCTGGAAGTGTGAAACTGCTTGATTCATCAATTACAGTCACAAGAACTTTTGCTGAGCAAGTTCACATATTCACAATACAAATAAAAATACAGTTTTGCTTTGGTAGTGCATCATACTAAGATTTCTAGTCAAACATAAGCACAACAATGAATGTTCTAGTTTTAATTAGAAGCCTGAATCACTGCTGCTCTTGAAGAATGTTTGACTTGGCAATCACAACTTATTATTTCATCTAGAGGGAATCTGATTCTAGAGGCTGCACTATCGTTGTAGCCAAATCTAATGCCAAGCAGAAAGAGCACCTTCAGGTGAAAAACGACCTTTTCATGAATGCAATGAACAGGATAAATCTTAAGCAACAAATATTCCTAGAGAAAACMAAATGTAATGCTATGGAGGACTATGAAATTGATGGATTCCTCCTGTGAGAAGAAAAAATAGATATCACACCCTGATTCTGTTACTTGTACACTCTATAGCTCTAGAAATTAAGAGTACAATTTACAAAATGCTGTTACTCACTCACAGCTGATTGGGCTCTAGTAGCATAATAAAATTTCTTATAAGCCCAAGTCAAGTATAGGTCAAGCAAGCATTTTGGAATGGATTAATAGATTTCAAAATACCCAGCGACACAAGACAGGAYTCAAACATGTGCTTCCTTGTGGAAACAAATATTACTGCAGTAGTCTAGAGAGTGTCCAAACTCCTAAGAAGAAACAAGCCCATCAGTGAAAAGAAACTTTCTGTACAATGTAAAAGCATTTATAAATGTTAGGGGGATTCTCTTTCCAAAACACAGTGTAAAACAGAATTGCTTGAACCCAGTWAAACTCAACATAAATAATGTTGACCTGACATATTTAAGTATAGGAACGGGCCCAAAGAAGTCTTGGATGAGAGGAGAGGSAGAAGCAAGGAACCACAAGCAGAGGCTGTTTTTCTGAGTCAGAGTCTCAACCAAAAGAGCTTGGGCCAAATTCCTCTTCAGTGTAATGTGGAGGTCAGACGAGACACCATAGGGATTTTAACCCTTTCTCCTAGAGCTGTGAGAACTTCTGCAGATGACTGGTTTGCTGTTCAAGAACTCTTGTTTCTATTCTTTCTYTCATTTGCTTAAAATCAAATTATTTCAGAGCTTGGGGGATTTTATTACTTTGAAATAATACCTTTAGACCAAATACACCTCAACCTTTTTTTTTCTTTCCTTTTTTTTTTCTCCTTCCACACAAAAACTCTGATAATTAAATAGTCTGATCAATCAGAAACCACCTGTTTTTGCTGACGTGACTTTTGRATGAAGTATTTGGTTAAAGCTGTGGATTAGAAGAGATAGACAAATAAAGTAGCTCTTCAGCAATTTTCAATCACCAATTCTTAGTATATCTTCTCTCCCTGTTAGACAAGACACAAAAGACCAGATATGCAAAAAGAGGCAGTCCAGACTGGGTTCTGTACAAGTGACAAGGAAYCAAAGATGTTGAGTAAACTAAGATGCTGAATATACCCTGAATTGCCTTAAAGCAGCATCTAACTACATCTGACTGCACAGTGACCCCCTTCCATGGGAGAAGGGTCTGGGRAGTGGTGGTCACCAACAGGTGCATTTCCCACATGAGAGTCAGGTCCTGGGGACACCCCTGGTGGTGGCTGCTACTGCTGCTGCTGCAGCACAAAAAGGAAGAGATTTTTCCTTTCCATATCTCTGGGCTGGCTCAGAGGTTTACAGCTTTCTCCTCAGCACCACCACTTCTCTAGTCCCAGGTCTCAGGCAAGGAATGTTTGCAAGCTACAGTGCTTGGATTTGCTGCAAAAGGAAAAGACATGTTTACAATGAAAGAGCAATGAAACATCCTTGTTCCTGCCATATGGATGCCTCTATAGGAAGCCAAAAGGAGAAACATTATGCAGYATAGAGGCCAGGCTTGTCTTAATCAGGCTGATCCAACAGCCACACAAGACAACAGCAGATTATCACCGACTTCAAAGGAAACTGAATCATATCCCCAGAATGCATATGATCACTAACAGTAATTCTTTGGCAAATAGTGTCTCTAACCACCATCCCTACTCCCAGATCAGTTCCCTTTACAAGCATATTGTCCAAGTTTCCYATCCTCTCGAACACTACGTACCAAACTGCTGAGTTAACACAGGGCATTTATCTACACGACATTTATCTTCAGAAGATCTCCCAGACAATTTAATGAATGGTCCATCAGGGAATGAAAAGAAAAACAACAACAAMAAAAAAAGTTTAAATAATCACTGATATGTGGAAAAGTCCTGAGGAATGTCGTGCCTTGAGCTTAAGCATCGGTGATTTCCCTCCGGGGGCTGCARTTCCTCTCCGTGATGCTGTTCCAGTCAGCCCCACTGAGTCCTGAGGCAGCACACGATGTTCCTCTGCTCAGCCTCTCACATGTGGCAAATGGGAAKCACAGGCAGACTCAGCAAGCCTGTCTCATGCTGAGAAAGGAGTGAAAAGTAAGGCTAGGGGAAAAAAAAGAAGCAGGCAGACRCTTCTCTATAAATGGCAGAAAGCAGGGAAATGCATAATTTCTCTCTAGATGGGAGAAACAATTATCAGAGGAATTAAGTGATTCAGTGTGCTGATTATAACTCCAGCCTTTTGCACTGCCAGGAAGCGAGAAGAATGGAACAGCAGACATGGAGTGAAGGGAAGGGCTCCTAAACTTGTGKTAATTTGGGTGCCTTAATTGGGAGCCAATACTCACAGAGGAGATACTGAATCCTCAGGGTGATGCTGAGTGCCCAAACTAAGAGCCTGCTGCCTTTCCTCCTGGCTACTAAGAAAGCCCAGGGGCTTGAGTTGCATGGCCAGGACAGTTATCACCTTACAAAATGAAATGCACGTGCATTGCTCATTCATTTCAGTCATAAAATCACACCAACGCAGATTCACACCACCAGTGCTGGAGGAAAACTGAGCCACTGGGATGTTTCTGAGCATGTTCATATCAAATGGATGAAAACCAGTAAATCTCCACACTCCCATAAAGTATCTGAGCTTAGATCTTTGGTACATAGATGAGCTCTTCCAGCATCAGAGATGCTGCAAATGTGCATCTCAGCTAGGGAATTTACAGAAAGAGGAACTATTTCAATCTCAAATTACATCTGACACACATTATAGCTGCTTTAAAAAGTTATTGCTGAGCAGCACTAAGTTACAGACCATTACTTGCTTATAGTCCTATCACCCAGTGTATTAACTCATTGCCCTGATCTCAGAAAAGTACAGAGCATCTGCAAGAAGCAGAGTACCAAGYCTAAAATGCAATCAGCCTTTTGGGCCCTGGTCCCTGGAGTTTGTTGGCAACAATCTGTGCTTTCTGAACTTCTCCAGCCCTCCTTTGTCTTGCAATAAGCAGAGGAAACGCTGCAGATACTTTCAGCTCGCTGCTGTCTCTGCAGAGACTGCAAGAGTTTAGAGTGTAATCATAATGAAGCATAAGGGAAAAGAATTAACACAGCTGATAAATGAATAGGAAGTTTCACCCCCAAAATCACCTATTTACTGCTCAGTCCTAAATCATGTGCGTGAAAACATCTGATGAGCCACTGTTTGCACAGTACAGGAGCAGTTTGTCTAAACTGCCTCCACTTCTGTGGTTTTACCCTGCTGACTTCAACACAGTCCCTGAATTTAATGGAGGATTTGGGAGAGCAAACTTAGGGTCTTTTTTCTCTGTTTTACTAGCCTGCAGCATTGACTGGAAAACCAATAAAGCTGACAGAGATTGTCACAAGAAGCTGTAGTGGAAGGTACAGTGATGAGACACACTCCACAGAGAAAAACTGAGCTCCAAATAGCGCACAAGATATTATTAAAACTAATTTGAATCCATATACCCAAATGTAACAACAAAGCAGCAGGCTGATTGTCAATAAGATCAGCTACAGTATTTGGCCTCACTTTGACAGGCCCATATGAATACTGTTTGATTTAATGTGCTCCAGCCACTTAAAGGGATCAAAATCTCCTCAACATGACACTGAACAGGCCCAGAGACCAGAAAGGTGCATAAKAAATCCTCCTTAAGAGGGCCAGCTGCCCCTGGGACAGAAAATTGCAGAACATCCCAGCGGAAACCCATCAGCAAGATCCCATGGAGAAATTCATCCTGGGTTTGGAGATCCCACAAGAGTGTTTTTGAGGCATTGCCTTACTTTCTAGACTGCTTCAGCTCTGGCTGCCAAAGCAGACATGGAGTTATGTGACATTCAATTAAACATTCTCAATCTATGAGGCAACACACAGAGCCCTGTTGAGCAAAGGTTTTCCTGCATATCAGTTATGTCCTCTTGGAGGAAATWTCCACCTGTTCATGATGTACAGCACTCTGGGGAGTTACAGAGTAAGAAGCCCTGTCATGTTAGAGGTTCCTTTCACTAAATTTAATTTCTAAATGGAGTGCTATTTCTTTCACCTAGTTTTACTCAATTTTCTCAAGTCGATATTATGCCCTTGACCTTCACTTCACTTTGCTCATTCAACTTTTTTTTTGGTGATGATAACAAGTGCTTTCTCCTAGATGTCAGGTCAACAATGCTTCAGAAACAGAATTGTTTAAATAATAATATTCCAACATCTCAACTGCATTTAGGGGAGCAGACTGGAAAACTAAAACCGTATGGTCCATATGACAGGAAATACTGCTGTGCACAAACACAGCAGAAGCAACAATCTCAACCATCTCTTAATACTATGATAGTTTCTTGAATTCACACAAAGCCAAACATGGTTTCCCCRGCCGGATTCAGAAAGCCACATCAATTTTGGTCTGATTAAAGGTTCATTCAAAACCACAAGAAGCAAAACAATGTTAAGTTTACTATGACTGCCACATTTCTGTGAGTGCTAGAACAGAAGATGAATGAAGTCCACATGGTTCTTTGCACATAGAATACAGCTCTGATTTATATTAGGAATGTGGACCCCTTTATACAATTGCTGCTTGATTAATGCAGAATGGACCATTATGTTCCAATCCAATACCTGTCTTGAAATTACCATGCAGGTATTTCATCCATTAAAATATATAGAAATATTTCAATATTTAACAAAGGGTTTGGTTCGTGATGTCACTGGATTTCAAAGCTCAATCGTTTTTAGTTTCAATGTACCTTAAAACTAATTTTTTTTTTTAAATTCAGCTGTCAAAATAAGATTAACTACACACTGCAGTTCATTGCCACCATGCAATGAAACAGTGCAAGGGCACCAGAAGGAAGACAAAGCTTTAGTGTGCATATGCCTCACATGAAGAGGCCATGTGGTAACCAAAACATCAGTTACTCCAGTCCTAGCAATTACATGCTTGGAAGCTGTTTAGCCTGGGAAAGGCTGGGGATAGCCCAACTGCTGTATTCCACTGCTTAGAAAGGCCAATGGGAAAGGCAGCAGCAGGCACTTCCTGAAGGTGAAGGGATGAAGAATAACAAATAGCAACAGGGACAATTCAGACTGGATAGAAAGAAAAATTTATTCACAGGAACATCAAGAAAACATTCCTCACGATGGAGGCTAAGCTGTGGAAAAGGCTGTGCAGAGAGGTAGTGAAGCCATCTTCCCACAGTAGTTTGAAAACTCAACCAGATGTAGCCCTAAGCAACCTCATCTAAAGTTGAAATTAACAGAGTTGACCAGCTGACTGATTAATTGAACAGAGTTGGACCAGCTGACTCCATAGCCCCTTCCAACCTGAATTTTATATGATTCTGTCTTACACTAGAATGCTAAGAACATTGTTCAAGATTCAGAACTTTCATTTGTTATATTTTAACACTTCCTTGTATTACAAATATTAATTCTAAGGGATGGGGGGACATGACTCACTTTATTATGTTTATAACTGCAGCAATGATGTTTTAACTGCCTACAAGTTTTAGGAAGGCAAGGAGATTCAACAAGATACAGAAAATAAAAAGACCCACTGGTACTTTTAGGGCAACTGTTTGCAAAGAAAACTGAAAGCACAGTGACAGAGCCCTTTATAGCTTTGAAGCAGATGTAGATCTATAAAATAAACTCACTCTTGCAAACACCTGGTTTGCATGAGCATAAAAGTGCTACTTGGAGACTGGGGTCTAGCACCACTGGTATAAATTATGCAGATGTGATACACAAAACTACGATAGTTTCTTTAAAGCTGGAGATCAAACCACTTTGGCTTGTCTTTAATCATGCTTGACAGCTTATAAGAATTATACTGATTTGGTATTCCCCCTGCACGGCCTATATTGAACGAAGTGCTTGGAAAGAGGTTGTTAAAAAGCACTACGAAACAATGAAGTTCTGTGTTTGTCCACAGATCTGAAATTTTGCATTCTCTTCCCACTGCCCTGCCAAAATGCCCAAATTACAGTCTGCAAGGAGCTGGTTTATAGTTCTCATGAGTTGGAAGAGCCCATTATGATTTTGTTTTATTGAACCCAAGATTTCTTCTCATTTGAAGAAAGGTTCTGACCAGTCCTGCACATTTTATGTTGATATTTAAAAAACAGACAAGGAAAAAAAGCATTACCACCTAAAATCTGGCAACACATTGACAAGTTCTGAGCAAAGATGAGCACTGTAATTAACACATAATACATTTTCAATAGCATGGTGGTCTGTTATGGAAAAGGCTGATGATCATATAAAGATGCTCTACACAGAAAAGGACTTTTCAGTTTCTACACAAGTTTTTATTTTAACTAACAGACACTGAGCAGGAGCTGAAAGCTTCTGTTCTGAAAGCAATTTTTTTTTAATGGCATAGAGGAAGAGTACAGCTGAGAATGGAAAGAATAAATTCCTGTTTTCACTGAGGCTGACAAGTCAGAGACAGAATTTCGGTCTGACAAAGAGCGCCAGGCTGCAATTTGTGGCCACTGTTCTTTGCTCTATCAATGATAGGACCAAGAGCAGTTTTGTTCTATTGTCTTTGTTTGCCCCTCAGACATTTGTAAGCACTATTAGAGTGCCTTTTTACCAGACTAAACAAGCCCAGCTCTCTTCAGAGGATGTGTGCTCTAGGGTCCCAGACTATCTTGGTAGTCCTCCAGCTTTCAGTATATAAAGATTCATTGTCCAAAGTAAAATGAAGTCCCCTTTGTATCTGTTGTAATAATATAACACTGAAAGAGTTAAAAACAATGCAGATATTCATCACTTGTGTGGAAAATCTGTGCTCTGAAGGGTTGCCCAATTTTCGGTAATTATGACAACTTTTTTTGATGTTAAAAGAATGTATGCATAGGCCATACATTTCCTTCTAAGACCAAAAGAAACATGTTTTTCTTATGAAGCATAATCAAAACAGTGTTTTTTTGTTGTGCATTCCCCATGGTTGTATAGCTAAAGGAAATTAATTCTTCTTTAACCAAGCAATTGGGACTTGTAGGAAACCAGAAACAGTGCTGCAAACAACTGCTTTGGGGAAGTGCACACCAGAGTCCTGAAAAGCTCAGGCTGACCACACAAGGCCTCTGAGGTTAATCTTGCTATTGGATAGTTCTGTAAACACTGTCTCGGGTTCTGTTCTTTACATTTTTACACCACTCAAGGCTTCAGGCCAAGGCCTTGATAAAGAGAACAATTTGGTTCTTGAAAAACATTGTCAAAAAGCTGAGCGAGCAGTCTGTTTCCAATACTACCCAGTGAATTCAGAAAGAATCAAGATTTCCTGCGTGCAGCCTGAGAGCTACATTTGCACTGAAGGATCAAACCCATTTAGCCTCCATTTAATCTCTCTTTACTGACAGCACTGAATGTTCCTGCACAGGGCATGTGTTCAGCATTTCATGGCCTGCCCACAGCCACTCAACATCCAGCTGTGAGCCTSTGTTCTGCGGCAGCTTCTTACCTACAATGTCTTCATAGGCATTTTCTTCTAAAGTGCTCTTGGATCCAAATTTATGCTGGCTCTCAGTTCCATTTTCCGTTGGGGAGGGAGGGTACAGGGATTGCAGACTTGAGGCATCCTCAAACTCAAAGGATTTTCTAAAGTTTAAAACGAAAAGTAATTAGTAACCAGAATGAAAAATTATTCAGACATTTAGATGAGCATTTGCTTGCAAAAAAGAAATATATATAAATGAACCACAACAAAAACTAAATAAAAATCACACATCATGCTTTAAGGACTAGCTTTTAGCAGACCCTGARTCCCGTGTTCACAGCAGTCTCTAGTATAGCCATCTATGATACTTTCATGAAGCTGGAAGCATTATTATCCCCATTATGCAGACAGGAAAAAATTTATCCAAGTTACAGAGTAAGTTAGCAGCACAGTCCTCAGATTAGAAATTCCTTTGCTCTTTCCAGAGGTCCCCAAAACATGTGGCACTCTCTCCTCAAGAAAGACATGTCTCTGAAAAGCATTCCTGCACTGGTTTCTCTGGGAGATGTAGCCCTTAGTTTGACACCACTCATGATTTGAGCTTTCAGATATGTTCCTGCACAGAGGTCAAATGCCAAAGGCAGACTTGTGTGAAATTCACCCGTTTCCCTGGCACACCCCAATGCTAACCACTGGCAGCAAAGGAGAAAGAATTGAGGAAATTAGTGCTCCCCAGGGTGGATGAGCAACCTGGGCTGATGGCTTAGGGGCTGAAGGTTTGGAGTTTCTGGCAGGAACATGAGGACCAGGTGGGTCAGATGAACCCACACAATTTGTCTCCCACCCGGGGTGATTCACCACTTTCCAGCCACACCTGCCCCACTGCTGCTGAGCAGTTCTAGAGGGAGAAGAGCCCAAGTTGTCCCCACTCTCCAGTTTGCCCAGCACTTGTTCTCTGAGGCAGTATGTAGACTGAAGCTGGGAGGCCCACGATTTGCAGTGCTAGCAGTACAGAGGCTGGCACTGACTGGATTGATTTACTGCTGAGAGTGGAATGGTGAGGAAAATGGGCTCAGGTCAGAGTGTAAATCCCGTGGTGCTGCAAGGCTTGCAGGGCCTGTGCCCGTCTCCATTCTTCACTCACTGAGCCCCAAACTAGTTTCCAATAAATCATGCTGCCATCAGCCCCCATTCCTCTTCCCAGCTGGAGTGAAGCATATGTTACAGCATATCCATATGGCAGTGACAGATCTCATGAGACACTTTGGCCTGTGAATTGGCTCAAGCATCCCTACAGGTAGCACAGTGACTATCACACAGAACACTGCATTTGATTAAAGCATTTCCTGTTTGTCTCCTGGAGCAGACTTATGGGTCTGGATCAGGCTGAGGAGCTTTGGCTCTCTCCTTTCCCTCATTTCAGAATATCCAGATCCAAGTTATTCACATCAGGATCATGGCAGAAACAGTCTATGCATTTCAGATCCAGAAACCTGCTCCTCCACCATTGYTCACAGTTACAGAGGATGCTGACACACTGAAGACACAGCTGTGTATGAAACAACACTTTCTAAAGTAGTTATATTTCCAGCACCTATTGATTTTAAGGCAACACTGATGTGGTGGCACTGTTGGATCACATGGTCCAYAAGCCTATCCTGTGACACTCCTTTCCTGCACTATGTATGTTCCAGAGGATTTCCAACTGCTGGGAAACACCCAGCTCACACCAATCTGAAATGTTAAAGCTACTGTTGGCATCAGATCCTCTGAATCCTCTCTGCTTGCAGGCAAATATGAGAAACTTCCTCCATATTACTAGAATCTTGAATTAGCCACCAAAAATAAAATCAGTGCTTTCAACAAAAGTATTGAGAAAAAAAATACCCTCAGTCCATCTTCATGACATTCCAGTGAGTATGTATTTTCAATCTGAAACACACAGCTACAAGCTGTAGACACAATGAGTTATGTCTGTTCTCAAAAGAGAACACTTTAGATACTGAGATTTCAATAATTACTGTCAGTCATACTGTCATCCTTAGATGACATGTGTGGTCATAAATCCTCTGTAAATCCTGGAGTTCTCCTGTCTGTAAATGAAGGAAGGACAGTAGCAAAGACGATAAAATTAATATTTTATAAAAGATCTTCACCCAGCATTGAAGTCAGCCAGCAAACCTGAGATTTTGGGGAGGTTGACTTGAACTTCAGATCATGATTAACAAGAGGTGTGTCCAGAGAAATCATTAAACTACAGTGGGTAAAGCTGTTACAAAAGAATGGATACCTACACAGTAAAATATCAAGCTGATTTGCAAGAATCATCAGACACACATTAAAACCCTACAATTGATACTTTACTAATCAAAATTTAAATTGATAAATTATGCTTTTTGGGGGGCTTGCATCTCCTAACCCTAACCCAGGTGTAAAGCTCCTTTGTGGAACTGTGCTGTTGTCTAACTCCACTAGACAGGAGACTGAACCTGCAGAACATCAGAACATCAGAATTGTACCTCTTCTTGAAAGCAGCTTCAAAATAATCTCAAAAACTCATTGTGATAAAATACTGTGCTTCTTAGATTACTTGCTCCTTAATTTTCCAGTAAAAGCTATCAGTCACACCAGAACATTTTAAAATTATTGTTTGTCTTCTGCACATTGCAAATGCTGTGCTGAACAAAATGAGGGCAGCTTTACTTCAGAAATTCTTGTTATAAACTAGATTTATTTCCTCTGAGATTATTGCCAGAACTCAAAGACAAGCACTGCTAATCAGAGCTTGACTTTCCCCTTCCCCCCACGCCTTTCTGGGAGAAAGAGAAGAGCTGTTTTATCTTTCAGAAGCAGGTGTCTCCTGAGAAAAAAGGACAAAATCTGAAGGCTCCTCTTCTCCTTTTCCTGCCCCAGCATAATTCAGGTCAGGTTGTGCTGACAGAAACTTTTAATAATTGAGCCAGCATCAAGCACCAGATACTGAAGTGATAGGGTGAATCTGAGATGCTGTTTAGCAGTTTCTTGCAAATGTCATCACTAAATATCAAGGGAGGGTGTGTATCATACACATGGACAGAGAAGTGAACTTGTTAAAAATGCTGTCATTTGAATGCTTAGCAACAACTATGCCTACAATTTTCTAAGCAATGACCAGAATGAGCTTTGCCATGTCTAAAACTCAGGAGAAATCATGTGATTAAGACAAGCCAAGCTCCCCAGATTGCTGGGGAAATGTAGCCATACACTCTCCCCATCATTAACTCAGGTTGGATATAAAGGACTTTCTATGATAAAACACTTTTCTCAGCAATAATCTTCCACAGCTGTTAATAGTAATTTAAGATAATATTCCTAAGCACTTAATTAAATAAGATCACCTAAATTGCCTAAAACTGACACAACTATTATAGTAATGAGCTTTAGAAACAGAAAACCTCTGCAGCTACATTTTRTAGGAAGAAAAGGCTGTGGAGAAGAAAGAAGGTCAGCTATGGTCCCACTACCAGCCAACAATGAAATTATGGTCCATTAAAAATCAAAATTCAGGGCATTTGTGCCCAAATGAACTATATAACCTTTGGCACATGTAACCTAGAGCCTTTTTCAGAGATCAAGGAATGCAGGCTGTAGAACTCCAAAACTGAAGACATGCAAAGGTATTGTACCAGTACATCCTATCAGAGCAGAAAAAAAACCCCACTTGTCTTGAATGCAATTCCTAGCTTTCCTTATGTCAAAAGCAGTGCATTAGAGGAAGAATTTAAAACAGTTACTACAAAAATACAGCCCATTTATTTGTTTATTTGGAGAACTGAGCACATTTCCTTGACTTTTACCTGTTCTGGGATTTTCTGTGAAAGCGCGACTCCTTCTTCTGCCTTCTGGTCACAGGGGGAGCAGGAGTGGACGGGAGGGGAGGAGGACCAGCAGGTGTGGGAGATGGAGGTAGGCCATTGCTTGGTTTGCTTTTGTGGGATTTATCTGCCTCGTACTCAAAGGTGCGTTTGGGTTTGGGGACGGGATTCACGGCACTGTTAGCCGGGTTTTCCAGGAGCAGTTTGGGGCCAGCTGAGTTGGCAGTAATCCCTTGTTTTGTTTTACTGCTTTTCTCAGCCTCAGGAGGTGTTTCTGGTTCACTCCCCAAAATAACACTCCCTCCTTTGCTATCGCTCAGGGTTTCGCTCAGTCCCTCCGCAGTACTCGGAGTCCCAGACGTTTTCCTCCCTTTGTCAACACTGTAGCAGCTACTTGGTAACTGGGGGAGGCCTCTGCCCGACTGCTCCTTCAGTGCCTGCTCAATTTTCTGGATTCTGTTGAGCACGGCTGAGGACTCTTTCCTCACGTGGCTCTTAAGGAAAGTGGCGGAAGGAGGTTCACTCCTGCCTGGTCTCTTTTCAAACCGATGGCAGGAATCCCTGTCCAGCAGTTCCTCCTCCTCTGTCTCTGGGTAAGAGCACTCAGAAAATGTTCGGCTCATTCTTCTGAACCCTTTGAAATCAAAAGTCTTGTCACTGCAGGGAGAGGTCAGCACACTGGGGCAGCTCTCACTGCCTGACCTCTCCCCAGCATCCCTCTTGTCCACACACACATTGGTCCTGGGGGACAGCTCCTGGCGGCATTCCCATGCTGTGATTTTCTGCCTGATGTCCAGCACCTGCGAGCGGACACTCACCCTGCTGATGGAGAAGGTCCTCAATTTGGGGGCGGTGCCCAAGGACAGAGTGCTCCGGGTGAGCGGGTGGCTCCCTATTGCTTCCCCATCTTGAGCCTCATTTGGAGTCTCCTTTTGGTCAGCCTTGAACACGGACAGCCTTTTATCCAAAGCGCCCACACTGATGGCTTTGAGCGGGTGGCTCGGGGAGTCGGTGTCCGATGGGCTCGTGGAGGAGCTTCGCAGAGTGGATGTGCGCCTGTTCCAGTCCTTGTGGCACAGCCTGGAGTTGGAGRCTTTGGAGAGTCCAGCAGAGCGGGGAGAGTCCTCACTGTCGCTGAGGGGGTAGGCAGAGCTTCTTTGTGGGGACAGCAGGGGCGGTGGAGTGGCTGACTGGCACCTGGAAACAGAAAGAAACAAAAAAAATCAGATCCTTGGGGAAACTGGAGTTATTTGCCAAATTTCTTCTGGCTGCTGGTCTGCACACTGCAAGACCACCCCAAAGCTTCTTTAAAACACCAAGGACCATTCAGCCACAGAGCCGGGGTGGGAGGTGGCAGCATTTAACTGTTGTCAGGGATGGGCCATGAGTAGGACACTTTGAACATCCAAAACAAGTTTTCTCACCTCTGTTTKACCCTCAGCTTTTCCACATTTCCTTAACTTAAAGCCAGCTGAGATTCTCATAGCAAGCCACTGCCATGAAAGCATCTACCACCTCCAGATGAGTACACCTGGTTTGTCTTTAGTCTGATGCTGTAGCCGACAGATGAAATTTCCCTTAGCAAACAGAAGTAATTTCTAATCAAAAGAATATTACACACTGAGAAAACACATTAATCTGCCTACTCTATGTGTTGAAAAATATAAAGTAGATAGAAAGGTCTCAGTGTTACCCTGAAAAAAACCCTTGGAACAAATTCTAGCTTTGGTTTGCAAAATCAGCTGTTGTTACTGGGGTTTTGTACACTGTTGCAAAGACTTTTAAGAACAAAAAGACACAAGGAAAGTAAATAACAAATGAGCCAGCAAGAAGGAAGTTAAGCCAAAACCATGTCAAAAAAAGGGTGTTTGCCACCCTGCCAAAATCCGTCCGTACAAACCCAAGCAGAAATAATCRCAACTCCTTTAACATTAACTCCTTTCCAAACAGTACAGGAAAAAGAGGAAAAACCCACAAGTAATGCCTTGCATCTGCAATTAAGTTTATGCTCTTGAAGACTGTGGACAACAAGTTGTTTTTCATAAACTGTCCTGTACACAGACAGGATCCAAATGAAAGAACTGCTTGACCAAAATAAATCAAGGGAGCAAATGTCTGCACTACAGCAAAGGGAGAAGAGATTAAGAAGATCTTTACTGTTTAATTGTTTTCTTCCCAACAGCCAGCCAATACCTACAGCAGAGGTGCCAAGTCCTGTGCATTAATCAAAAAAATCCAGAGCAGTGGGATGATTTCTCAAAAATTTACTTTGACACAGGAAATATTTTCTTCTCCTTCAAATGCAACCCCAAACCAAATTATCAGATTTCATCCCACTTTCCTACAGTGGATACTTTACAATCAAAGCTCAAAAATACCACAAAAGAGAAAAGTTCTGGTCAGAAAAAGACAATAAACAAATTATTACAAAAGGGAACTCACCTCTTTTTTTCACAGGCCTGAGCCAAGCAAGTCTATTTGTCACAGAAGTTGGTGACTTTTAATTCTTTATTATTTTGAAAGATAATCATGCCCGTAGGAAAAGAGATCTCATGTCAAAGATGATGGCAAATACTTCTACAACAACTGCCTAAAGCTTCCTCATTTCAGGAGAGAAAGGATCCATGTCAGAATGTGCTCTTTCCAGCCTAGAAGCTGAATTTGCTGCCTTCTATACAGCTGCAGACAGGTGTCTTAAGAGATCTCAGAAGATCAAAAGCAGGTGATAGATGATGAGTGGTTTTGGCTGGCTGTTATAGGACAAAGTTTGTAGTGGATTACCTGGCATTACCTTGGCTGACATGCCTTTATAGTGCCTGAAGATGAACCTAAATCAGCCTCCTCAGGCTCAGTGGGGCACCCTGATTCTTTATTATTTCTGTCTATCTCATCTCAAACTCTTCAGGTTAATACCATGAAGCCAAATTTTTATATTATTCTTAGCACTCCTTTAGCTTAGATTTGCAATCATGTTCTTCCATTTTTTTATGTTATCCATGCCTGCCCCAGAGCCGCACTTCTTGGCATTTCTCCCAAGGAAACAGGCATCACCCAGTGGAAGTGGATTTTACATCTAGAGAYTACAGCCTCTACTGAAAGCATATTTTACAACCAGAGACTACAGCCTCCACTGCAACCTAGAAGCTGCATGTTGGCTAAATCCACTGTCGGGATTCATCTGTGGGATGAAGAGGCCTTGTGGCATGCTTTAGCATGTTACAGCTTATTYATTAGAGTCTAATCTGTACTGACAATAGCAAGAAGACAATAAATTACTGAAGTAAGGTCAGTAAAATGGGACAGCAGAGGTGAAGGATATAATGACAATCAGGGAATCATAGAAACCTCTCTGTGCCTTTGACATACTGCACAGAAAATACTACAGGCATAGTCCTTTATCTCCTCACACTCTAAGAAATATCTTTTCAGTCATTTCCACTTTCAGGAAAGGTTTGGTGATTCATCAGGAAAGGAGGAAAAGGGGGAAATCATGGTTTGCATAACCTGAAGAAGTTGCAAAACATTTCTTCTTAAGACATATGAGCCATTCTTTTAATCCCCAGGTTTCCAGTAAGGTAACTGCAATTAAGGTAAAACCCCCCAAATTCAATTACAAAACTCACACTCACCTCCACTGTGCAAGACTGGGACTGCAGAACCACAAGCCCTCTGGAGGTCTTTGCTCTCAAGGACTTGGTTAAGAAAAAGATTCTGTTTTACACGGCATTGCACTCTAAATTTAGAGTTAATTTTAACTCTAAATTTAACTCTAAATTTAGAGTTAAATTTTCTGCAATCCAGACAGAAGCTATAGGACTAACTCCAGAAAAGAAGAGGAACAAAGCTTTGTCCCAATGGTTTCAGTATGCATTCTCTAAAGGATGCTGGTAAGTAACAGAATTAAAGAAAAAAAACAAGTCCAAAATCTGATCAGTGGATAATAAAATGGTTCTTCCCCAAGAAACCTATTTCCATTAGAAGAATATTCTCTTGAAGTCACAATAGTTCCACAGGCTTTAAAACCCATATTACTGGACAGAGACAATAAGTAAGAAACTGGCAACCTTCCATACAAAGATTGTAAACCAAAATGCTTTTATTGAAGTTTTCTACATACACAATGATACAGTGCAGCACCTTACAATGCACATCATTGCATAAACACCTTCCAAATATCATGCATAAACAGCATAAATAAAGATTACGGAATCAAGTTTAGCTTCCTCAACAAGTTCACTTGAACAATACCTTCATTCTGAACAAGGATATCTCTCTGAGAATAACAGCATTTCACAAAAAGACACTGTAATAAGTAGCTCAGATTCCCTAAGGGCATTGTTCCAACATGCAGTTCCACACTTAGGTGTGCAGTTCCCAAACCACTGGTAAGCTGTGCACTGCTGTCTCAAAGGCTGTCAAGCAATCCATAATGTCCTCTAAACAGGTCACAGACCCAAAACCACCTTTCTGCTGGGACTTGTTGCTGCTCACTGAGGAGAGCACACAGAATCCAAGAGGTGCTTTCCAGCTCTCTAGACAATACTCAGCTTTTGCTAATGTGACTTGTTCCTTGAGAAATCAGCAGTTACCCATGGTAGGAGAAAATTGATGGTATCAGTCATACTCTGTAAGATTTTGAACTGTAGATACAACTGATCTTCACATTCTGATTCACCCTTTTCTCTCCAGTTTCTCTTCTTCTCACCCAAATGTAGAAAAAACCTCGTCATTTACAAAAATTGTCATTTTTGAGGGCTGCTCTCAAATATTCATATATTCATATTATTTTCACTAGCAAAGGCATGTCCTTTCACCAGGACCAGTGAACACATGTGGATAACAGTGGAGCTGTATCTCAGCTGCACCAAGAAGAGAACTGAAGCTCTTGCCTTGAGATAATTTGCAAACTACTCGCACAAAGGCAAAAGCTGAATCCCTGTCATCTTGGTGAGACCTTTAGCAATGCTGACTTGTGCTTAAAAATCTATAGGGATGGAGAAAGGCTGGTTCTTGTTGCCAAAAGTGCCTGAGTTCTCACCTTCTATCTGACTCAAAAGTTAAAAAGTCTCCAATTTTGGACAAGACACCAATCTTCTTCCTGCAAAGTAGTTAGGGTGCTAACATTTGGCTGTGTGTAGAAAGGAGGAATTTAATTCCTGGAAACCACTGTGACAGTAGGCAATACAAAATTAGTATTAAACCACAGGGCTTGGCCTTTTTGATGCAGTTRAGCAGAAGCACAGCTCCTTCCTTCTCCAGAAAAGAAGAGAAATAGGTAAAGAAAATTCCCACAACTTCATGAGATAGTTTTCAACAACAAAAGGAGACAGCCAGAAGGGTGGCTCAAGAGCTGGTTTTGTGTCTTTTGGAAATCAGAATACAGGTGGATAATCAGAATGTGCATTTATTGAAGAGTTTGTATCCAAGATCCACACACTTYATATACACTAAGAAAAATCTTGGGTTGCATTTCAGACCAGGCAGTTACAGTGGCTGGAGGGTGCTTAGGTAACTTGTCTTGAAAGAGTTARGGACTCCCAACCCTCACTGCCCCACTCTGACCTCTGAGCTAAGCAGCTCAGACTCTGCAGCAGTGTTTCATTCCTGAAGTGTCAGGAATGACCCCACACATCCTCCTGTCCTAAGGAAAGGCAAGCTGGAAAAACCACTCAGCGATTTTTCAGTTTTGTAAGTCCCATCTGCTTTTCTTAAACCAATACATACAGAATAGWAAGCCAGATTTTGGCTCTCTGATCCAGGGAATTTCCCACTTCAACATGCTCATGCATGGGAGCCCATTTACTGAAAAAAGTACAGGGAATGTGCTGACAAAAAGGTATTGGGTTTTCCAGGCTCCTGTTGATGAGATCCCATCATCTTCCAGCGATACTGATGTTGGGTAAGCTCATACAAAGACTCCCAGCACTGGCTTTACTCCTCAGGACTTTCTCCCTGCTTTTGTTAGGAAAAAATATAGCTATTTTCTTTAGGATTTTTTCCCTTATCCCCTTTCTTGGGGCATTGTGCCATTTTATCAGGACAACCTAACTTGTTTCAGGCTCACAATAACATCAGAATCAGCTGTGTCCATASGATTGTAAGTTTGTGTATGAGTAGTGGTAAAATACACAACATTAGAGACTTCTTGTTGCTCTAGACAATATTTAAAGAGATCTGGGGCAAGAGAAGCAGAAATT